GCACGCAAACGGAAATGGACGACCACCGGCGAGTCTGTAACAGACGGACCTGGGAACAGAGTTTCCAGAGTTTATCCTGAGGGAGAGAAAACCCAGGCCGCAACAGTGTCCAGAACCAGGCCCAGATATTTCAGGTGTGGAGAAAGCACCAGACAGACTACTGGAGGCTCAGGATCCAACCGAACTCTTCCAAGGACCACACCACGACCTCTAGGGCCCTCACCGGAGAAGAGTGCGACTCAGCGCATAGACGATCGTCCAGATAGCCCATTATCGAGATCCCCCGGCAACAGCGCCTTAATTGGGACAAGCACCTTGGTGGACACCCGAGGGGCCGAAGTCAGGCAGAAAGGCAGCGCCACAAACTGAAAATGCTCCTCCCCACCGCGAAACGAAGGCACAAGAAGGTAGGCATCCCAGATGCCAATGGAGGCCAGCAGATATCCCTGACGAAGTTACATCACTATGGACCTGATCGACTCCATCGGAAACCGACTGACCCGCACAAAAGGTGCTCTGAGGTCCAGGATGGGCCGAACCCCCTCCTACTTGTGCATGGTAAACAGGTAGAAACCAGCTCCCGCACCCAAGAGTCAGAGACGTGAGCCAACCAAAAATCTGCAAAAGCCAAAAAGGTGCCGCCCCCCCCAGAGCCGGGGCGCGACCTTCATGCGGACGGGGGTTCGCCAGCGGGCTTGGCAGACTTAGGCTGCCAGGGACGCTTGGCAGACTGAAGGAGTATTTTGTAAACTTCCCACCCTTGTTGGAGGGCAGAGGGGCCGAAAAAGCCGCTTGTGAGCGGAGAAGGTGGACCCAGGCTTGCGACGCTGCCCCTTCTTGCACGTTTGAGGCAGGAAGGTACTCTTATCCCCCATCAATCCCTAATGATCCCATCAAGGGTGGTGCCAAACAGACGGTCCCCAGTAAAAGGAAGCTCCGTCAAAGCCTTTCTGGAAGCCTGTCAGCCCTTAAGCAAAGCTAGAGCCTACAGCGTCGACACCAGGGGCGCCGCATACAAGGCCGAGTTGCAGACATACTTAAGGCCCTGCACCAACCGTTCCGCTAAATCCACAAAAGCAGGAGAGCCATACAACTCCGCGAGACCCTGATGCAACAATTTCACCCAGTGTCTGAGAGACCAAAGCAGAAGCTAAAACCAGACGCATAAGTGCACCTGAAACGGAATAAAGGTCCACGAAAACGCCTCAGCATAGCATACCCATCGGTCTCCCGCCCTTTAAGCAGGGTCCTTAAAGGGCGGGAGACCGGAGGGTCAACCACGGGCGGAGAGGTGCATTTAGACAAAAAAGCCTTCAAGTAATAGCGAACAGAAAGATGCTTAGGAACCGCAAAATGTTTGGTAGGTTGCTTCCACTCCTTATAAATGAAGTCATCAACGAAGGAGATTTAAGGAAACACAGTGGTGGAATGCCTACTCTTACAGGTCCCAAACTGCGGCAGCACAGAAGAACTAAATGTATCCTCAATGTCTCCCTGACAGCGCGTACTAGCGCAGAGACCAAGTCGTGTTCCTGAACCATGAGCGTAGACGTAGACACAGACTCATCCTCATGACCCCCCCGGGGAGCCCCGACCAGCTCCCGAGATGAAAACCTCCCTGAGAACAGCCCGCACAGGAGCCCCACAGGTTCTGG